GCTACCTCAGCAGCTACTGTAACAGATACTACTACTGCTATACAGCTACTACTACAAGACTGTGTGAATACTTCTACTACCAGTACTACTACGGTACTACTGTCCTGCGACCTCTCACACTCTGAAACCTCTACTTCCAGTTTGACCTATGACCATTGTGTGTGTGTGTGTGTGTGTGTGTGTGTGTGTGTGTGTGTTTCCAGACAAAGCCACAGTCGATAAAGAAAACACCTCCAGGGAAACTGGGAAAAGTGTGTGTGTGTGTGTGTGTGTGTGTGTGTGTGTGTGTGTGTGTGTTTGATTGAGCTTGAACACACACACACACACACACACACACACACACACACACTGTCTCCAGTGGTCTGTGGTTGTCAGTGTGGATCCATCAGACCAACAGGAGGGAGGCCGTGACCTCAAAACCAACTCCACTCTCCTCCTCTTCCTCTCCTCCTGTCCCACTTCTCCTCTCTACTTTTCATCCTCTTTTCTCTTCTTCCTCCTCTTCATCATCATCATAGCATTCTTTCCTTTTTCTTTTTATCCTTTTCTTTCCTGTCATCTCTTCCTCTCGTCTCTTGTTTATCCTCTTGTGTTCCTTCAGTATCTAGGTCGAGATAGTGTTTCAGCTCTCTAGTGTGGATGACTGACACACACACACACACACACACACACACACGCACGCACACGCACACACACACAGCATTTTTGGCAGCTCAGTGTGTGATCGCCCCTTGAGATGTCAGAGCTTTTAGGTCAGGCAGATCTGTGAGCTTCAAAAAAAAATAGAAAAACGGCAGCAGGACGCCGAAAAATACTCTGAATTATACAAAAGCATCTAAAATCTACGTAATGAACATATATAATAATAATCTGCTTATGTTCATGAATAAGAGAGCTTTAAATCTAAGATGATTTTCCTCAAACCAGGTTAAATACTTTCTGAAATTTTAAAATCAACATAAAATTGAAAGTAATTTGTTTTTTTAAGTGTTTGCATTTAATTCTGCTGTTGATTCTACGATTGATCTTCAGTGTCAAGAGACTCTGGCAATAAAATAGATATAATATAAAACCTAATAATATAATCTGCCACCAATGGGCATTTTCGAGGATCGTTCTTTTCGTTTTCCACCCAAAAATTCCCAGATTTTTTAAAAATTTGCAGATCAATTTGAACAGATTTTTATCCGGCTGAAAGTAAAACTTTAGTTTACAGAAAACAACGTCCATCTTTGTTAAATAAATAAATATGAAGTGAAACTTAAAGTTTTCTTCAGAGGGGAGCAGTTGTGTGTTTCAGCTTCTGGCATCAATATTTGACGACCTCTCCACCCGCCTCATCTGCCGGGGTCAACAAAACAAACGCACTGATCCAACCTGTTTTGGCATATTGACATGGAGGACGAGGTAAAGGCAGCCGTGTCACCCACAACACACTCACACACACACACACCGGTGGATGGTGTGTTGAAGGCTGGGGGTCGCAGGTCAAACCGTGCGGGTGAAGGTGCTCAGTGAAGCGACACACGGAGAGAAAACGAAGAAACGTTTTCCTGTCAAACTAAATCACAACAGAAAGTAAACAGTCTGCAGCTGCTTACATATTTACATATAAATATTATAATCTCACCTGTAATATTATTTAACATTACTGCTATTTGTGTGCTCATTACCTCTGTATGTAAAAGCCTCACAGAGTTCTTCAACACCTTTTAGTTTCGTGCGGTGATGTCTGATCCACTCACAGACTCTGTGGTGGGTCGACCGGAGCGTCACGCTGAGGTCGACGCCTGCAGGCCGGACAGCGACGCTCAGTAAAGGTCGGGACATCCAGCCGACACACAGACACACACACACACACAGACACACACACACACACACACACACACACCTGACCTTTCAGCTTCATTTCTGAGTAGGACGACGTTATCTTGTGTTATAAACCATTTGTTAAATTGACATACAGTAAAAACAAACAGTGTGCTGGGAGTCAAAGCTCAGATCTGGGTTACAGTTGTGTGTGTGTGTGTGTGTGTGTGTGTGGGGGGGGGGGGTTCCTCCCTAAAAGCCTCCTGCCTGTTAACACCGGCCATTAGCTCTCTGTTTAACCCTTCATGGCAGCGTACACCGCGCTCCGCTCCGCCATCTGGATGCTTCTGAGTCACTCAGAGGAGATGAATTAAAGAAAATTAAGATTCTTTTTCCTCTCTTTTGAATCTCTGCTTTCCTTGTTTTGACTTTATTTATTCATGTTTTGTCGTCTGTGAATCGGTGGATATGAAGCGCGTTGGTTATCGTTGCCTTTCTTCCCGAGGAGGAGTGTGTTTTACCTTCTTAGCAGGAAGTGGTGGAGCTGTCGGTCGGGCGGAGGTAATGCTCACTGACAGCCCGGCGGGTGGAGACGGGGAGAGGTCGCTGCTTCCTGCTGCAGCTCTGCATGAGGACGAATAAAAGCTCTCATGAAATGAATAGAAACAGACTGAGACAGAAAGATTCATCTGTGAGGAATCGATCGGGGCATAATAACACGGTAACATAGCAAAAACACTCAAGATTATTGTAATTAACACATTTAAATTTTCATTTCAGACTTCAAAATGAATCTGTTGCACTAAAAAAAATCATTAATAAACTCAAGTTTGCAGGTTGTGAAAGCAGGTCAGCGTCAGAACCAGCAGAGCGTCCGTATCTTCCATCAGGTAGAAGGTCTGAGTGGTCATAGGTGGCCATTAAATATTTCATATCCTCCTGATGGAGGTGTCCAGAAGCAGTACGGTCCGAACTTCAAACATGCAGGTAAAGAGAACAGACTTAACCTCCACAGTGACAGTAATCAGAAAACAACCGGCGTTTACCTGACAGGTGAGCTCTCCAAGCCTCTGAAGTGTTCAAACAAGATGGGATTATGAGGCAAAATATCATCTTTGATTGGACTTGTTTGTGTTATTGCTTGATTTTGACATTTACATTCATGTATTGGCGAGACTTTTTGTGAATATATTATGTGTTTAATGTACAATAAAGCACAGAGCGCACTCGTAAACAAACGTTCTACAGTGTGTAAATACATTTTGACAAAAAATGAATCTTTTGTCATTTTTAAAATGAAATACAGGAACAGTGACCCTCTTTTGTTGCAGACAAAACAACAATATCCCGACATGATGAACACCAGCAGACTCCAAACATCCCTCAGAGCTCCTTTAAACACACAGAGCAGGAAGACCACGTCCTGCTCTGTGATTGGCTGCAGCTTCGTTATCAACACAAAGGAACCTTTGACCTCTCGTGGTCTCTCGGAGCCGTTGAAATGAATTATCTCAATGACAAACACGACAACATCTCTGCTCTCGGCTGCAGCTGCTCCGTCGGCCTCCGTGAGGGTTTGAGCCCGAGGACGGGGGCTAAAGTGGGACACACAACATCTCGCTCGGATGATTGATCACGTCACAAGCGGGCAAAGTTAACCGGCTGGAGACTGCGGGAGAAGAAAAACTCTCATAAATGATTCGGGGCGAGTCATTAAAGATGTAAAGTCAGCGTTGGGCACTCGGGAGAGGAAGCCTTTGTGTGTGCAGCTGAAATATGTCGTTTAACACACCTTCACGGTCAGGCTTTGATCTGTGAAGTCATGGCTGCAGGTGATACAGGTTGAAATCAGTTTAACATATATTCACAGAATGGATCCCCTCGGACCTCTTTCTCTCTCGCCCACAAAGATGGAGGTTTGATTCAGAACTTGATGAATGTGTTGTGAGAGGAGATACTTTATGCTCAGTGCGCTTCCGTCTCCTCTGGTATCGGTGAGTGTTTGTTTGCTTTTGTCGAGGTGCGACTTCACACATCTGCTGCTGCAAAAAGCGTAAGAAGGGAGGGGGAGGGGGTGGACAATGCTGCTGTGTGTGTGTTGTCGGTTCAGTGACAGCAGCTAAAAGCTTCCTCAGGTTATCGATGGCGTGCATCACTTCACTCTGAGCTCCCATGATGCAGCTCACCTCATTGTTTTTATTTCAACAAATATATTTCTTATTCTTGTTGTTATTTGTGGTATTAAATTGAATTCTTCCTCACGTTGTTCTCGTTGTATGATCTTATTCCTAACAGTCTACTTGTTTATTTAGTCATTTTAATGTGGAGAAGTTACATATTATACCTTTAATTATTTACAGTATTAGAGTCTGTTAGCCAAATATTAAAGGTACATTAACATCCGTCTCTCTTGTTTCTGATCTGAGTTCTTTCTTACCTAACCTTCCTGTCACAGTCTGGCTGGCTACAGCTGACTGTGGGGAGAACAGGTGAGCAGCACAGGGGATGTGAGGCAGCGCTACAGTGACACCTGGTGGACAGGTGAGGAAGGTCAGCTTCTCAGGAGACAGGTGAGCACAATCACGCAGAGAGAGGCCGCTCGGTGTGATTGCACAAAATCCTTTATTTCCAGGATCCAAGAGCACATTTTGAACACACTGCTTCAAGACAAACTGCATTTTTAAAAAGATTTGTTTACATACAACTACAACCTTCAGTGATAAAAGTAGCAAAATAAAGTCTGTGTGCTTTAAAAACAACATAACCACGAGCAAATGACAAGCTTACGGAGAGTTTGGTTCCAAAGTTTGACAAAATGACACAATGAAAATATATAAAAGGCTTTTAAACGTTATCTGGTGGATTTATAAAGAGTAAAACGTAGCTCCAGACTTATGGCACTGCTTCTGTTCTGAGCTAAAGTGACAAACATGACAAAGATAAAACACAAGGGAACAATATTCACACAACATGGAGTCATAAAATGCTTTTTCAGTGCTGGAGAAAGAGTTTGTAAGTGATTTTAAAGTAGTTAAAAAACACAGTTATATACACACACACACACACACACACACGACCAGCTTGTTTTTAAAGCGCCTTGGTAAATGATTGTCACCTCATAATCTTTCATACAGCATTTCATCTCACAACTGGTTTTAAATATTCTGTTCTATAAGAAATGTTTACAAAAGAAAAGAGGCAAATCTGTAAATGCATTTCGTCGTTGTGACGCTACCGAAGTCCACCAATCGCTCGTCAGCACCATTCCGTAGTGACATAAAAGCTTCATGTTCTCACATTCAACAACTGCAGACACGCGTGTGGTCACATGCCTCTCATTTGGTCTTTGAGTCGGTGCTAAATGCTAAATGCTGTCGTCCAGCTTTTTGACCTTTTAGGTCTTTGAAACGTGAGCAGTGCTGCGTTCATGTCACGTCTCAGCTGTGTGGAAATACATCTTGATATTTGGAGACTCCACACCTGTTAGAGGGGTAGTTTGGATGCTTTGTGGGGCTGTATGAGGTGTACTACCTTCAAACCTAGACTGTTTATCTGAAACCACACTTCAAACAATCTGAAGTGTCCCTTTAATCCGACGTAATGTGAACGCAGCATCAGCTGAACAAAGATCATGTCCGATGAGAGCTCGTGTCTGTTAGTAACGTTTGGTTTGCTTCTTACTTTAAAGTAGTTTACACACATGAACATAAACACACTGCTTCCAACATTTAAGTGCACATCTTCTCTCAATCATCTGTAATCAAAACAATAAGACGTATATACTTCCATGCGCTTCCTCTCGGGCCTTCCGTTGTCTTCTATTATGTACAGCTGGTCCTCAATGGATGTGTGCACGGAACGACTGCAGGATGCAGTAAGGACAAGGCATCCATGGGAGATTCTCACACTAAAATGCTTATTTATGCTCAGAGCCTCTCTGATCGTGTCTGTAATAATAAGTAAGAGCCTAAGCAGGCTGAAATGCAGCATCAGTATGAACGTGTTTTCACCGTCTGTTTGAATCTCATCTCAACAATATCAACGATTAGAATGAAATGCTGTTTTTGTTGCTGTTGAAAAGCACGAGACGAACGGCTTCTACCGACTCTACAGGCCGTCTACGATCGCACACCGACGGTTAAATAACGAGCAGATCACCAGCTTCTTCTTCTACTAATGTAACATGTAACCGCCTGTTAGCTGCTAATCAATTCCTGTAATACAACAAAGCATAGCGTCGTGTTTTAAGGTATAATATTCCATATTTCACAGGTTGGTTTAGGGATACAAATCTAGAAGCCTGGTTGTGATACTCGAGCTGAAGCATCTTTATTTATCTGTTTTTAACCAGCAGCTACTTGTAAAGAAGGAATCTTGAAGCACACAGCTTGCTGGTGAAGGAGGACATGTGAAGGATGCACGTTATGAAACTCTGCTTTCCATTGTTTTATGATGCTACAACCTTTCACACTTATGTTTGTAGAGATTCGTATCGTCGTTCTTGTTATCCCGTTATTGGCGTACACACACAAAGAGACTGTTCATTTAAAGTGTGTCTCTTCTCCTCAGGACGGTAACAGTGTATTTACAGATAATAAGGAGGAACATGAATATGTTATAACACGCAGTGTGACGGATACACAAACACCAGCAGAACAAACCGGATGTAGAGTCCTGTCTTTTTTTCTCCCCTTGCATTGTCCAGAAGGCGTGGTCACATTGAACATCTCTTTTCCTCCTTCAGAGCAGAAAGGGTTTGTGGGGGTCCTGCAGGGCGGCGAGTCCGTCGCTGATGTCTCCGCTCAGACACGTGCGGATGTACGCTGCGTCGGTGGCACTGAGGAGGCGACCGTTCTCCAGCTGGGAAACAAAAAGGGTTTGAAAGGGTAGTGTGGTGTCATTCATCTTTTTCCTTTATGATTCATCACAATTACTGCTTGTGTATTGTTCGTTGAATACTGTGTACAGAGAGCAGCAGCTGTACTTTCTGGTGATATACTGTAGCACAGACAGGTTCTACTCAAGATAAACATGCATTATAAGTATTTTCCTCATTGAATGTCCTCCTCTCCTCCTGACGGTACATGTTTCCACAGTGGAGTCCTGCTTCTGTCCGAGCTGAGAGTAGAGTAGTGTAGATAGAAGAGCCCCCCCCTCCACAGCATTAGGTAATGATGACAGTCAAATTGTAGGTCAGCAGCGCTCATGCTTGACTGGCCGGCCTGCCAGTATTTTTCTTTCAGCGACAGCCACTGACCCTGAAGAATAACAGCGGAGGCTGAATGGATGCCCGGGGCCGACCTTCTTCTCTTCACTACTGAACGGAGAGCAACAATAACACAGAGCATAGATGCAGGAATCTGATCTGTGATATCTATCGGACAGATCGCAATCATTTCTTTCTTTTCTTTACACCAAGCTTTTAAATTCACTTCATCTCTGACGAGTTTGGTTGAATACAGATTTCACAGAATGGACAAAAGGGTTCCTGTGTTCCTAACAATACAGCAGACAACCTCCGCTTCATAATGTTGGTTTGTAGGTGAAGTAAACCATTTGTGAGAGCTCCTGAGACGTTCCTGGTTTAAATGCTGCAGCGTTGACTGCGACGCTCTCGTTACCTCGTTGTGTGTAACGAGGGGAACTTCTCTGGACCTCCGGCTACGTGTTTATGCTGAAGGAAGACGTTCCCCAGATCTTCCCTGCTCGCTCATTACTGGGAAACCTTTCTGTGGGACTTTAAAGACAAATTCCTGCTTCCCCTGAACATTACACAGCCCCATTAACCAACACAAGTAATGCTACTGGGACCTGAGTTCATGCTGGGCTGCAGTGAGTCTGGTGCATCAATTCAATCTGAAAATAATTCTTAAAATGTTCCTTTAAATGTTTGGTGCGGGCGACATCGGTTTATCTGTAGATGACTTTCTCGATTTATCATTTAGAGCATAAAATATGTTGAAAATGGTCAAAAAAAGACCATCTTTACATTTTAATATTGATTGTTTTGTTCGACCAACAGTCCAAAATGCAGAAAATAGAAAAACATTCACATTTGAGAAGCTGAAGAGCAGATAAATGATCTGTTAAACAACTCAAATAATCTCCTCTGAGGACTGCTCTGGGAAGTATAAGTCTATGTTGAAGGAGGACGAGACGAATGTGTTTGGACAACCAAATAAAGCAGAAAGTAAAGTATTGCAGAGAGGAAGTGAAGGTTGTTTGATGTTGTATCTGATGAGAGTAACAGCACATAATACGGAGCAGAGACTCGAGAGGACTCTACTCTCAGACCGTCGTCTTATTTACAGGCCGCGTCCGCTCGCATCATCACAGTTTACACTGAGCTGCATGCCGGCCCGGGGCCTCTGTGAGCCGACGCGAAGAAAAAAAGAGAAGAAAATCAATTTCCATGACAGTGAAAGAGAACAGCGCAGGGCTGCAGGGTTGTGGGTCCCGCGGTCCTTCGTCAGTGGGATCAAGAGTTTGGCTCCCAGACCAAACAGTTGTGAGGAGAGCTGGCAGCTTGACGGTGAGGAGGGAGAAGAGGAAGAACAGGCCTGACACGAGACAGAAGGTCTTAGTGGGACTCAGGAGGGATGTTGTGTCTCATGGACAGAAAGTCAGCCTCCATCCTCTAAATGTCATCAGGATATTGAAACCTGAAGAGTTGTCGTCGTGGATTTAACTTTATGGCGTCAAGTCGATTGACCTTTCAGCTACGAGTTAGGAACAAAGATTTCTGTGTTTGTGTACAAAAAAAGATTTAAAGAACGTTATTGAAATGGCTTGTTGTCATGTGAATGCTCTCTTACCTTGCTGTGGGTGGAGTCTAGTGTGGCGGTGCTGATCGTGCCGTAGGCCTCTAACGACGGCCGGCTGTGCTGAGGCTGGGACAGACCCAGGAGCTGCTCCAACTCCAGCGCAGAGCTCTGGGTGGGACACTGGGACAGACACGGCGGTGGAAGCTGCTGGTGTTTGTGGTCACCCTGCAGCTGGTAGGAGCTCTGGTTGTGACCCACGTCCGGTGTTGTAGCACCTGAGATGTTGTAACCCGGGTGGCCGACCTCCACGTGTCCGTTTGGGATGTAAGACCCGTTTGTTGTGAGCTGATTGTGGAAGCCGGGCAGCAAAGGGAAGCTCTGGCTGCTGGCCTGCTGGTGGGACTGGTGGTGGACCGGGTGCTGGTGCTGCTGAAGCTGCCACTGTGGACTCGACTCCAGAAGGTGTTTGTGTTCTCCGTTGAGCTGCGAGGCTCTGAGCACTGTATGTGGGTGATGACGGTTGTTGGCGTGATGGCGGCTCTCTGTCGTTACCACCCAGTGAGTGTGAGGAATCCCGGTTAAAGTCTTGGTGTCCGCTGCTCCGGGCTGAATCTGCTCCGGGTGAGCTTTCACTTCAGCACCGACGTGCTGCAGCATCTGCTGCGACAGCTGGGTGATGGGAGGAGCTGGAGGGACAGCGGCTGTGAGACAGGTCTGTGGCTGCTGGGAGACGCTTTGGGCTGCAGGTCCAAATCCACCTCCGTCTCCTTGTCCCCCCCCCTCTGTCCCAGTCTCCAGAGAGTCGTGGATGTAGGAGAGGATTTCGTTGTTGGTGAGAAGGTCGCCAAGTGTCGGGACGCGGTTTGGGCCCAGCTCCACCTGGATCATCCTCTCGTCCAGCAACAGGAGCTCCAGGTCTTCGGCGTTCAGGCCCAGGTTCTCCAGGGCGCTAAAGAGCTCGCTGTTGGAGCACGGCTCCTCTCCTTCCAGAGACAGAGAGTCCAAAGTGGCCAGCAGGGGGTCATAGCTCGGTGTTTTGTTGCTGCATCTCCCCATCTCCCCGTTGGATTCCATATGCCAGCTGTCGCCGCTTAACAAGCCACCAAAACCATCGCCGTCGCTTTGCTGCTGGTTGAAAAGGCTGCTGTGGTACGACATCTTCGGCTCCGGGTCCGGCTGGCAGACGTACACGGACTCGTCCTGGCTCATGAGCGCCCCCAGCAGGGACTTTGGGTCCAGGTCCTCTGAACAGTTCTTGTCCAATTTCCCCTTCTTGGACTTGCTGCCTTTGGCTTTTCCCTGGAAGGAGTCGGGGAAGCCGTGCAGTGGATAACCGGTCTGGTAGAGAGTCGCCTCTCCGGTGGCGAAGGTGAAGGGAAGGTGCATCGACCGCTTCCTCAGGTGCTCCCCTCCTTCCTCATCCCTGTGAATCACACAGAACAAATTAACAGATCAATCAGCTAACACTCAAAGCTGGAACCGGCGTCCACTTACACCAGCGGCCTCTGGGTGGCGATGATGTAGTCGGGCTTGCTGTTCTTGTAGACGAGCCGGGCGTTGGCCTGGACCCACTTCCACCGGTTGTCCTTGGTGAGCAGCCTGAAGACGGTGAGGCCGCTCTCGCCCGTCTTCATCACTGGAATCACATCAGAGGCTCCGTGTCACTGCTGTTCACGCTCTGCATGCCCTGCAGTGTGCACACACTCACGCCGCATCTGCTCAGTCGGGCGTGCAGCCGCCGCTACTTTGGCTACATGCACATGTTACAAGTCCTGTTTGCACACACTTAAAGCAGGACAACACACACGTGCAGCATCACACCCTCATCTCCACGGCTCAGTGTTGTCTGGCCCTGTGTGTCATTGTTCCTGTGCCGTCTACTTTCAGACCAATGTTCAAAAATGTCGTGAGTAAGCTAATACAAGTGTTATAACTTGATTAGTTTCCGCCAATAAAGAAGAAGAAAATAAACTGAATTGTGTCCGTTATTATGCATATGAATCATAAAAGAGGAACATCAGTCGTGTGCAGGTTTTGCCTTCCAGTTGTGAGCAGTTTCCATATGAATTCATCACATAACCGGTTTGTCTTCCTTCCCATCTGTGCGTGTGTCTCTGTGTTGTATGTTTCCAAATGCACACGCATGTATGTCCGTTTTCTGGATGCATGACTACATGCACACAGTGTGTGTCTTTGTGAGCGAGCGTGTCTGGTAGCGGCGCGTCGAGAGCACCATGGTTACCACTAACCGGGTCATCCGGTACACAAAGTAAGTAGGACACTTGACTCTCGCTTGGAGTTTTCCTCCACCATCAGCAGACGCACACACAGCGTTTGTTTGCGTGTTTGTTGCATGTGTTACAGATGTAATGTTGGATCTACACACGTTAATATTTACCGGGAAGCTGAAATAAACATTTGTGCTGTTAAAAATAGACAAAGAATCAGAACGATCTGATTTGAATCCCTCAGTGAGCAGCTTTACATGTTCCCTAGCGGCCTGAAATAGACTTTCTATTGTTCAGACGTTTGCTTCCTCTGCGCATGCTATTTGGGGCGTGGCCAGATGCAATTAAGAAGTTAGATCGTACAGTGTTGATAAGAGAATATCATCTGTTCACATTTGCATAATCACCACTCAACCTCAACAAACCCGCCCAAATCTGACTGTCTGGGTTCGGGCACAGGTGCGTAAATACAAATATATGCAGTTTATATATGAATATATATGAATATATATATAAAAAAAGGTAAAACAACAGCTAATGGAGCACATCTTTATGCGTATTTTCCTAAAAAAACAATGAAACTTGGACTGTGACTTACTTCGGACGTGGTTTTCGGCGCAGTACAGCATGTCGGCAGCGTGAATGAACTGGTAACCCGAGCCTCGAACTCTCAGCTCCGCCTCCGTGTAGCCCAGAACAATCTTACCCCTGAGAGAATGACACACTTTAACAATCCAGCTCATTCAACAGCATTCTGAATAAATGTGAGGGGCTTTCTGGAGGACGCACTTCGCGTCGCAGGACATGGGCGTGAAGTCCAGCTTGTGTTTGGTCCTGAAGATCATGTTCCTGGTCCTGATTTCCAAGATGGCCGGAGAATGGAGAGGGGTGGCGATGGCGAACAGGGCGAGCTGAGGCGCAGCGCCGCCCTCGCCGTCGCACCGCTGGCGGCTCTGACCGTGGAGGAACTTGAGACGACCCTGGATGTTCAACGCCTGAGAGGAGAGGCACCATCGACACGTAAACACACTAGTTCCACCGGTGTCTCTTACTGGGAACCCTCCAGCTGCTCTCCCTCTGGTCACGTGACTCGTTGTACAACAGTTTTTAAGTGGCCGGGTCTTCATGCATGACTGACGATCATCCAAACTAAGACTCTTTTTGTAGACAAATCACAGGTCTCACAATAATCTGTGTGAGCTTCATAAGGCTCATGCATGTGGTCCAGATCAACACACACAGAGTAGATTAGGAGTCATGTCCATCACCTCTATTAGTGAAGGCTCAGTTCAGCTCTTTTGGGGGGGATCTGTCCATCTGGATGTTCATTGGTCTGCCTGTAATGTTGTGTGTGATGATCTTCTTCATGTTGAGGTTACGTTTAATAAGATTTAAGAAAGTAATGAATTGTTGGAACCACAAGCACTTGTGTTTCTTGGGGGAATTTAGAAGTTTTCTGGGTCCGTTCTTCTCATGTAAATGTGTCTGATGGTACGATAACCTCTAAAGAAAAGACTTTCTCCCCTCTGATGTCCTCCTCTCCCCCTGTGGCATCTCGTGTGAGGACCCCCACCTCCTCTGTTAGCTCTGGTTAATTGACCTTAGTGGGTTTAACAGCCTGCAGCCGGGATGTCAGGAATCTAGCCCTGAATAGCAAGAGGGATTAAGGAAAACAAAGCCATAGCGAGCGGTAGACAGAAGCAGAAACCTGGCTTAATGCTCACGCAAACGCAGTGGGAGGGAGAAGAGAGAGTCGCAGGTTCAAACCCCTTCAGGAGAGCTGCTGGAGAGTCCTTGAGCAAGACGATAACAACTCGAACCATAACTGTCCTTCACTGACAAAGATGTTTTCTAGCTGCACTCTTAATAAATAAGATGTTTGCTGGACATGTATATTTTATGTTAGAGAGAGAGAAATACTTTTCAGATGCTTTAAGAAAGTTTCAACCTTCTGCTGGTTGATTTTCACAGCGTGAAGGAAGCAACCTAAACGATGCAACGTTAACGAGCTAAAACATTAATTGTTTAGTCTGTAAAATGACCATCAAATTGGCTTCAAATGAGAGATTAAATCTCTGAAAATATGAAACACAAAAAAGCATAAAATCCTCAAAGATGAGCGGCTGGAGGTAAGTAAAGTGTTTGGTATTTTGGCTTGATAAATGAAGGATTTTTCTGCCCCTGCAGTGACTTGCTCATGGGCGACCCTGCCCCAGTTTTCCCAGCAGGGTCGAGGGATTTTTCGCTGCCACTGAACACAGCGGGCGTCTCTCTCCATCTGCAGCTAATTGTCTTAGTGGGAGTAGCCGGGTCTGGAGCGAACAACCCTGACTAAGCAAGTTTCCCCCTCTGCTCCGGGAGGATTAAGGCCCTTTTCCCCATGACCCCGAGGCTCTCTTAAGGCGGATTACAGGAGTACATGGTGGCTTCTGATGGCTGAGGGACTCTGAGGGACTCTGAGGTGGCACGCCATACTGCGAAACTAAATTTCGGTCTTACCAGGAAGCCGGAGGAGTTGTCCAACAAACAGCGGAAGCGGCAGACGAAGCCTCTCTCCAGGAAGGAGGAGTTCTCAGGAGGAAGCTGCTCGGGGTTGTAGCTCACCAGGCAGGAAGAGCTCGACACCGACTCGCCATCTGACATCAAACAATACGTTTTATTCCTCTATTGGTGACGTCTGTAATGCTGTAGAGCCATGTTGTCTTTACGCACCTGTTGAGGGTTCTGGGCTGAGGGCCCAGTGCAGGTTGCTCCTGAACTCCTGCTGGTCTTCAGTGTGGATCAGCTCCAGCACACTCTGGTGCATCACGTCGGTCTGAAGTTACACAGACAATGAGTGAGGAGAGCTACATGTGGCTCGGCTAAGACAAACTCTTGTTTAATAAATGAGCATCTACCTGGTGGAAGCCGAGGTAGTCCTGGATGCTGTGAGAGCAGAAGAAGACGGTTCCTTCAGCGGTCACCACCAGGACGAAGCCGTTCAGGGCCTGCAGAGAGGAAACGCACCGTTTGTTTCATACTTATTCATATTGCATTGAATTATAATCCTGATTAAAACGTGTGGTGGTCACTGGAAGGACTGGAACCCTCATACTCAAGACACAGCAGTAAGGTGAACATGCAGAGAACATATCAGATTCCAGTGAGAACAAAGGCTTTAAAACAAAGGGAAGACATGAAACTAAAGAAAACTGAGACTTCTCCTCCGGGCAGAAAGAGAGGAAGACGAGGACGAGGTCTGACTAACACCTTCATCCTGGCTCCTCCTCCGGCCTCGGGGGTCGCTGAGGAGGTGATGACATCGCGTCCCGACACCACAAAGAGTCTTTATAAGGTTGATATATCGCTGCTGTTGGGTCAAAACTTTACATTTTCCTTGTGAAGCCTCTTTGGAAATCCATTACATGACGTCAAAAATTCATCCGCTTCAGGCTGGAAACAAGACCGCTTCTCTCAGCTGATGAATAATTCACATTTAGGGAGGCGGGTCTTACTCGATAGCGGCAACATGCGAGTAGAAAACCAGATAACCAGAAAACCAGAAATCAGATATTTTGTCATTAATTTATTGTTATGAAGTGAAAACAGGATCCATCCTCTGGTTTTAGACCCAGTGTGCAGCAGAGTGGAGTGGAACACAGGCACTGTGTATAAATATTTACTGTAGATTCATGTGTTTGTTGTTTCTGTCACATGACCACGTGACCACACACAGGAAGTGCATTCACCACTGAAGAAGAAGCTTTGTGACCCAGTTCACGGGTCTATAAGCGGACGACAGGAAGCCGTGATGGGTGCTAAAGATCTGGAGGTACGCCGTCAAACAGCCAAGAATACTCCCAATGCTTTTAGTTGATTTCCACCCCCCTCTGTGCTCCATAATAGATGAGTCCACCGGCTCTGTATAATTCATGGGACAGTCGGTGTCCGTAATGGAACAGAAGGAAGCTGCTGATCTTTCTTCGCTGCTGCAGTGACCCATTTACTCCTCTGGGATCAATACGTGTGTCAATACACTGATGTAGGGCAGAGGAACCAGTGTTGACTTACTGTCTCTTTATGTCCATACCATCACCTTCATCACTGCACGTTCTGGACCTTTAAACCCCTTTAAACCCCTTTAAACCCCTTTACACCTCTTTAAACCTCTTTAAACTGCAACTACGGATTCTTTTTCTGCCATTTTGGAGGCCTCGGAAACAAGAACATTGACGTATCATTTTGTAAGTTGCTTATTTCCACATCCAGCAGTTTCTTTGAGCTCTTTAGCTGCTAAATGCTCCACTATGTGTCGTGTGCGGTGGCTTTTTACAGCTTCTTCTCTGAAAACATTGAGTGCGAGAGAAGATTTTGTGGCGTAAATGACACATGAAGCTAGAGACGCTACAGGTTCTGAAGAGAACCCGTCTGTTGGTGAACCTAAACGGACAAACTAGATCCAGTGGCAGTCATGAGAACCAGGACAGAAGCATGATGCTCGCTATAAAGGACAGCGAGCTAACTCTTCATCCAGATGTTCATAACGAGCCACATCCATGAACGTGATTAAAGACAACACCTCTTGTTTCCCGGTGATGGAAGTCTGAAGGTGACCAACCTGCAGCAGCAGCTCCCCCTCGGGTACGCCGCCGTCCACGGACGCTCTGCCGGCGTCCCCGTGGTCGCTGCTCTTCTTCCCGCCGGTGGACAGCTGGTTCTTCAGCGTCACTGCGGAGAGACGGACAGAGAGGACGAGTCGGTGACGGATTTATATCCAGTTAGAGTGTCTCTGTCACATATATCCTCTGAGATTAAAGTCTGACATCTGCTCATTATGTGGATGATTAGAAGGGTCTCCTTTAAGAACGTAGACTGTATTAATGGAGACAACACAGAAGTCTTCTTTATTGATTTTACATGCAAAAGAGAGAGAGAGAGAGAGAGAGAGAGAGAGAGAGAGAGAGAGAGAGAGAGAGAGAGAGAGAGAGAGAGGATTTAAGGCAACACGCTTCATCAGCTTGCAAATAAACAGATAAAAACGTCGGCTTTCCAAAGTGTTACTGTGACTAGAAGCTTTCCTGTAGTCGGGCAGATGAAACGCCTCACACAGGGGCTTCTCTGTCACCTCTGACCCCTGAGACAGAAACACGGAGGCCAGCCCGGTGCCTCTGACTCTGGTTGAGGACAAACAAAGAGCTTCTCTGAGACGTTAATGGAACAGGAAGTCTCTGAGCGCCGCAGACAATACAGACACTCCAGGTTCCAGCACTCAGACGGCTTCTTCTGATCGCGACCCAGATTCCACTCCGGGATCAATAAAGCTCCATCGTATCACTTTATTATCTTTAATGGAGTCTTTGTGTGCCGCAGCCTCGGGGCGGATTAAACCTCCACAAAGCTCCACATGGATCCACAAAGATCCACATGGACCCAGCACCAAGTCAGACTAAAGATAGTACATTTATACAATGAATGGAGACATTTATATATATATATATATCGGATACATTTGTGGTTCGGATTACATTTAAAAGTCATTTCTGGCGACTGACTGATATCAATAATATCTGCAAGGAAAGCAGAATAAACAGGAAACGCATGGCGGCCTGAGGGGAACAGCATCAGTCTTAATGTGGTATGTTTTTGGAAAATGGGTGAAGTAGAAGTAATGCATACTTCATATTTAATGCACTTAAACGTGAATAACACCAGCTTGTTCCCTCACAGTTGTTGTGGTTTGATGTCTCGGACATAAAGGTGTTTTACTTTGTGACTTTATCTCAGAAAAAACAACACGCTCACTAAGCTCGGCGTAGCGTCGGCTCACAGGCCAAGAGAGGGAGCAGCAGAAGCATGTCGACCATCAATAATTAACAGCTTTGACGTCACGGACGGGAGCTGGTGGCAAGAAAGAAAACACCCCGAGGCGACGGGGAGGAAGAGGGGACGTCTGTTGGCACAACGAGGACACCGCCAGCCAATAGAAACATCACAACAGACGCGCTTCAGGCAGATAGGAAACATGAAGGGAGCTCCGAACATCCACCAGGTTTAGTCCACAAAACTGCAAGAAAGGGGATTACTGCTGGTGGAAATCAACATCACGATTATAATAAATATTGATATCACAAGCAAGCAGAGAACGAGCTCACGTACGAACGAACGAGAGGCTGCAGCGCTGTTCATCCACCTCTCGTCTGGAGGGACCCTGACACGAACAGTGACCCGTCTAATGCAGCTACTCATCGCCGGGACCGAAATACATTTTTCAAAGGTTCAACGGCGGCGCTGACGGGTCGAGAGCACCCCCCCGAAATGACAACATCGATAACAAACTACAGCGTGTTGTTGGGCTTAAAGAGGCTTAAATATTCATACTATTTACATTATTATCTCTGTCTTTATAGATCAAATACAAGGTAATACCTGTAACATTTCACATTTTATTATGTGATGCTTGTTTCGTAGAGAGCATCGGTTTTTACCAGGCGTCCTGAACGCAGCATCAAGTCCACAGAAATACATATTTGGCATTTTCTTCTGCATTTGCTGCTTCATGAGGAAAAGAAAGTCTGACATCTTGTAGACGTAACTTAACATTTGTAGTTATTTAGAAACGCTCTGAAGCTCACCTCACACATGGTGCACCACCACAGTAAGAGCAAATAAAAGGCGTTTTCTGAGGTTGTGAGAGTCAAAAGTTGAAAAGTGGGCTCCTGCGTCCCCCCCTTCTTTCTTCAAAAGGTCTGTAGCGCGGTCGTGAGTGGATTATCCCGCCATGTTTCTACCCTCCGAGGCTTTCATCTCCTCCTCCCACCTCCTCTCTGCAGCCTCCTCAGACCTACTTTCCTGTGTGACGGAGACTTTGGGGTCGACTCGTGGCCACGGGCGAGAGAGAGGAGCTGACCTACAATACGTTGAGGCTGAACTGAGACATTACCATGAGAGTGGGGGGGGGGGGGGGGGGGGGGGG